AAAGGGTCAATGCTGCTTTGAACACAAAAGCTGAAGTAAAGGAGGTGTTTGCTTTCTACCCCACAACATCAAAAACCAGCCGGTAAAGGGAGACCCAACCCTGCGAAGGTTGAAGTGTTAGAGGGGATCCTCACATCTGTATTTTATCCCTTACTTCCCTTTAATCAACTCCCGACTCTTCTTAATTTGTTTGAACTCTACTCTTCTTCACACTCAGCTTCTCACTGTATTAGCCTGCCTGTTGCTCACATGAAAGGGAAGGCTACTTTAAAATACTGCTAGCTTTTTGTCCCAGTTACATCAAAATCAGTTAAACAAGGCCAGGCTTCTGATTCCTACGGATTTTGTGCTCAGAGCCGCTAATTCTTCAGGTCACTCTTAATTTTTACTACTTTAAACTGCTGCTCGTGTCTTACTGAGCAGTCAGATCCCTGGATTATGCTAAACCAGCATTTAATGACTTCATTATCTGAGTTGTTATTTGAAAACATCGCCAGAGGCAGCAGCATCCTAACTTCTATTTCATTCAATCATTTAAAGAAATACAGCAAGGGGAAAAGGCAAGAAGTTTAAAGACCTGCTGTGACATCTTTGTCCACACCCCATGTTCACATTAGTTCTCTGATATGCTGCCAACATTTTATCAAATGTATTTTAAACAGGAACATTTTGTAAGCAAAGCTGAAGATAAAAAGACCACATGGGCAAGCAAACATTTCCAATTCACTTGCTTATGAGCAAGATTGTAAACACAAGCGGTCAATATACATCATCTGGGTCTTCCTGTGAGGAATCCTTTCCTGCTCCTTGAACAGGCATTCTTCCCCACTGTGAATATTTTTGATTTAAAAGTCTCCAAGCAGCATTCTCGCATGTCAAAAGGAAAACATCACCTAACAAAACCTCAGCTAACTTTCTGTTCCATTTGCTGATGGATCTGAGCACAAAAGAAAAACATCCAGAATCCAGGTGGAGCATTGATTAGATTGCCAAGTAAACCTCTGACCATCAGAGCTTTAAAACCCAGTCCATTCTACTCCTGTAAGTTCGGCAATGAATTCAAGTCTCTGGGAGATCCCTTCCCCCGCTGTGCTGGCCGGGCTCCTGCTAACCCAGCCCGGGGCACTCGCCTCCCCCCAGGCAGGATGCGCTGCTGCTGTGTGCTGTGCTCACTGTCCTCATCTTCACTTTACTTTGAGGCCGTGTCACCTCAGCACACATCCATCCACTCCCTGCTGCTGAGTTCATCTTCATAAACAAGGCCTCATAAATAAATCCTGCATCCTCTTTCCCCTCACACTACACTTCAGCACGGCACCAGCACGGAGAGCAGTGCATGGGGACAACTGTCAAACGTCCACGAAGCACTTTTAGGAGGGGTGTAACAATATTAAGGGCCACATGTTTGTCATCACACTGTTCCTCGCATTGTCTCCTTACTCCAAACATCATAAGGCAAGCATATTTTGTAAAGCTTTCTTAATTCAGCACTGGTGGTGCTGGATCCTGTTCCTGGCTCTGAAGCAGCAGCTTTCCTTTGTTGTCATCCAATTCTTAGCATGAACCCTTCAGTTCTCCTGCAGCTCATCAGGAGGCCAAGGCTTATTTATAACACACATAAATATTTTCTCCATCAAAATGCTGCACTGAGTGAAGGGACAATTTTTAATCTGCAAACCATCTCAGCCATTGTATGCAAAACATGAAGAGGGTCCAGCTAAATGCTGCACTTCCTTTATCATTTTTGAGCAAATTTCAAACAAGCAGCCTCATCTGGCCAAGTTTTTCTCTGTTGTCCTATAGGGCTGGGTTAAAGCCCAAGCTATTGGTACCTCAGATTATTTCTATGATTTCAAAACTAACCACCACTTCTGCCATTTATTTGCCTGCTTAGTTCATTTCTTCTATCTGCTTAAACAAAACCTCTCCAATGGATGGTGTAAAGACAACTCAAGTCACAGCATGCTGGGAAGTAGTGAAAGGGCAGTAGTAAAAGGGAAGATAAGTTAGAAGATGTGCTTGTCTACTTGTCTAATCTATGTTGCACCAGGTGGAAGCAACAGACAGTGCAGAACAACCTCCATCCGCTCAGTTTGAATGAAGAAACATACCTTTTTTTTGATCAAAAAAAACAGTTTCTGCCTTGGTGAGGAGCAGGGATAGATGTTATTGAATAGAAGACAGGCATCCAAATGTAGGAATTTTATGTAACAAAAAAGCCAGGATTACACCCATGTGCTTTGGTTCCTTTGTGAACTAAGGCTCATTAAGAGATCAACCAGCAGGAAGAGCAGCGTTTCTGGATTCTGTAAACGTGCTCAAAAAATCCTTGTTTTCATTAAATCGAAAAGCATTCTTAGTATTCTAGTTTGTGGCCAATATGCTGAGCAGCCCTTATCACACACTGCTGCTAATTTTCAGTAACAGGAAATCTTTTACACGTGAACGAGGAAGCTGGAGGTTGGTCCCAAACAAAAGGCACAATCTTCCAAGATTCTGTCAGGATTATTTTCATGACACAATAAATCAGCAAGCACGAATGACTACATTTCACTAATTTCGTGCCTCCATTTACTGGTCCTAAGGGAAAAAAGGTACAACAAAAGCTGAAATGAATACATGCGCTGATCCTGTGGGCATTCAGCCAGCCAGGGACAGCCATGCCTACAGTCTGTGTGCTTTCTCAGGGCGTTTAATGGCCCCAATCCGTAGATAACGGACAAACGGGCAATATAGAGAAAATAAGTGACACAACCTCCTGTGCTAGCCAAAGGGAGCTCAGGGAGCAAGAGGATACACTCCAGCCACAACTGGCAGCTTCAGAACAGATTTAAACAATGGTGTAAAGATAAAAATCACTTGTGGAGTTGAGTTTGTAAGATTTAGGGGGAAGTGACAGCGGTCAACTCCTCTTGGCAGCAGGGCACTCACAGGACTTGGGACATTCACACTTTCCAATCTGATGCAAACACAGTTCTCTGCATGAGAAGTTACCTTCCCCTGCTTGTTTCCCCCTCTCTCTAACAGGAGAAAAAAACAGCCTTAGTTCTCAGACTTGATAGCCTCTACACAAAGGCTACCTGCCTACCACTGGCACACAGAAGGGGCAGAGCTTTAACACAGGCCACTTTATCAATCTGCTCAGGCCAAGGTGGTTTTGTTGATTTCAGACAGACCTCACGGTTTTCATTTCTGAAGCAAAAGGCATTGAACAGCAAAAAGCAGCTGCAGTTTTTTGGCAGCGCTGATCCCTTCATTTACTTCACGGCCTGTGGCACACTTCAGAACTGCATCCAGCTTTACTACCAAAAACAGTACATACAAACATCTTAGGTAACTAGATTATCATTATTTCACTTTCAAAGCCTTAACAGGACAAATCTGTGATAGGAGCAACTATAGGTGATATTCCTTAAATTAGTTTTTCAACACTGCAAATGCACAAATGAAGCAAACATCACTGTGAAATTATCACAAGCATGATCCCTTGTTCTGAGGCAGCAAAGGCTACGCTGAACAAGTGCCATTGTTCAATGCTCCAATTACAATTGATAACTACAGCACAGTCTGTGTCATTTCCACTGAGACACCAGCTTCCCTGTCCAAGGAAGGCCCTGATGCACCCTATTTGGTTATCTGTTTAGCATCTTCAAGGGCCCAAAAATAAGAACAATAGTTCATTTCCAGCTAAATGTAACGACACTGTTTTTGGAAACATTTGAAACCAAACAAACACCTAGTGATGCAACTCCTGATAGGCCATCTTACTCTGGTCTTCAGTCCAGTTGCCAGATTTACTTCCTTTTTTGGGAAAAAAAGAAAACAAGTCATGATTATAATTAACAGTAAGTCTCGTATAGTTAGTGGCTGCTCAGAGGAAATGTCTCAGTGCTATACACAGTCAAGAAGTAAATACGTGACCAAGTGCTCATACATCAAGCACCTTGAGATCCTTGTTTCAGACAGTTTCCGAGAGCAAACCCTTCATGTATCTAAGATCATTTCATTTACTTTTGAAATGGATTGCTGCTTAAGAATAAATACCATTGTTATCAAATTGCAGTACTTGCAGTACTGACCAAGAGAGGCAAGAGAAAATACAAAACCTACCTTTCATAAACAAAACAATAGATTCAGATGGAAATACAGTTCAGTTTCAATCTGCTTATCAGAGCTGTTGGGTTTCTGCTTCCTTCTTTTGAGAAATCCCATGAACCAATGAGTGCATACAACCTCAAGCGATATTTTACTTCTGAAGTGCAACCTATCTGCAAGCTTGCATCCAAACAATAGCAAGATTGATTTTTGCCTCTTATTTCTGCATGTTTGCCTCAGAGCTGATACCACTCCAATGTTTAAATGGTTGATTTTGCCTCTGACTTCTCACTTTGCTAATGTGATATTTTGCTTCAACTAAAACCTATCAGTAGGGCACATCAGCAATGCAGTGGCAATGCATTGAAGAATAATCAGTCAATGAAAAGATTCTAGAGGAAATGTCACTCAATTCTCACTAAAAAGAATATTTGAGAAAATATTGGTTCTCTTTTCTTTGCAAATCTGTGCTACGCATCTGACATACAAGGAACGCTTCCTCTTCCATCCAACAAGGCAGCTCTCTGCTAAAACTACGGGCTGGAAACTACGACTGCCTGTGCTCCGTGTGAGTCCTTTCCTTCAGATAGAGGAGAATTTCCTTTGCTGGCTGTGGGAGCAGTTTCATCCTCCAGACCACAGGTGAAGAGCCATCAGCAGCAGCACAGCTGCACTGCTCCACAGCCCTGATGAAGAGCCACTCCTCAACCTGCGTTTGCCTTTAGCCTGTGATTTTTGTATGAATTGTAAGTTATGTCCACTGACCAAAACAAGAATTCCGCTTGCTCTAGAACATCTACCAGTTATACAACAAACACTGAAGAAACGCCTCAGCACAGCATTACCAACCACCACCTCAGATTCTCCTGTGCCACGAAGCAATCTAGCTTTAGAAGTCGTTTTACCTGGTGAGGCAAAACCCTGCGGCGATAAACAACGCGCCGAAGGCGTCCCCAGCACCGCAACGCTCGCATTTCCTCACCGCGGCTCCACGAAAGGCCTCGTTCCGCCTGAGCGCCGCGCGGCCGCGGGGCTGCGCTGCCCTCGCGCGGTGCCGCAGCTCCACAGAGCAGCGCGGCGCCGCAGCCGCCCGGGCCGCCGCCACAGCGAGGCCTGCGCTGAGGCCTCCAACGGCCTCATTGTTTATCGCTGTACGGGAACCCGGAATGAAGTTTTATAGCTTGAATTTCAGTTGCCCAAAACACACAAAAATAATTAAGTGTTAAAAATGACCTCCCCCCTACCTTTAATAATCTGCAGAAGGATTCCCAGGCGCAGTTAGTTAGCAATTTCAAATTCGCCCGCTGTGATTTCAGTCATCACCGATCTGAGATCCAACAGCAAAAATACAGCGCAGAAAAAATGAGAGCATTGCTTAATTAAATGCAATTCAGTGCACGAGGCTTTTCAGAGCGATACCAAAGCTCACAGAATCACAGAGACACCGAGGTTGGAAAAGACCCACAGGACCATCAGTCCAACCCCCAGCTGCCACCTGTGGTTCTCACTGAACACATTTTGAATAGGATTAAATGGACGAACACTACAATCTGAACGGCACGTCCTCAAATGGAGAAGTAAAATAACTTAAACCTCAGAACTATCGAGTAATTTTAGCACTGCTACGAGCAATGCTGGGAAATGACAAGGACTCATTCACACATGTCAACCCTGCGAACTGAAAAATACATCTGAGCTTCATTAAAAGAGCACAGGAACTTTAAGGAAGAGAGCTGTTAGAAATATCTGACAAGAAGCGACACTATCTGCATCCACAGTATTTAATTTGTTTGAATAATATAGTTACAGATAAACAGGTTCACTCCATATACAATTACCAATACCTTTTTTTAATACAGCTCATATTCCAGTACATCAACACTATTTTATTTACAAGGTATTTATGTACATTAACATCTTTCTAAAGTCAGTGCATTGTCAATAAGCTTTATACAATAATTTACAAAGTGAATGTAGTTAATAGTTAACTTAATAAATTTACTACTAAATCATGAATTAATTTAATTTAAAAAAAATTAATTACAACCAATGTAACAAACACAGAAGATCAAATAACATTAGTAGATTGTGCTACCTGCTTAAATAAAACATTTCAAAGTAAATCAGTTGAAAAATCTTTCACTTTTCATGGAGTTTGGGAAGGGAGGAATAGACAAATGGGAACCGAAAAAAGCTTCTAACCTAGACGTTCACAATTTTTCTTCAGTCTCAATGTTCAGATCACTTTAGAGATAAAAGAGCATATGGGATAGGGAGCAACACTTCACAAGTAAGACAATACTTATTTTGGAACTGATCTGCTGCCCTGACAGAGGCACGGCCTCCGCAGACTGGGAGGTTTTATAGCTTGAACACAGACAGCAAGATCAGCTGATAGAATTTCTTAAATAGATAAAACCCAGATCCTTCTGAAAATTGAACACTTACTGGTAGGCTTGGCATTCTTGTAAAACACATTAAAAAGAAGCCTAAAATTTATTTCAGAAATCAGCAAGGTAAATATCAACTGTTAGTGAGAATAGAAAATCCAAATAATTTGGAAGATGACACGTGACAAAATCAGTAAGATTTTAGATTCAGCTGAAGAACAAAGGGGTGAAAGTGTGAAACACTTCATTTACATATGCTAACGCTTTAACACTGAAAATGTTTCAAGAAATGCCTATTCAAAAAATAACCATCTTTTTTCTGCTCTCTGCCAAGACTTGCTCATTCTCTCCTTCAATGCAATAAGCCCATTAACTCAAAAGAGCATCTTGCGAGGGTACGAAAACTGTTTTAAATGTAAGTATATGCATAACCTGTTGCAAAACAGAAGATTCCAAAAGGCAACCGAATTTTGAAAGAAAGAAACCTTCTTAAATTAAGAAATCGATAAAAAAAATAAAAACCCATGAATGCTACGATAGCTACCTGACAACCACAGCTTCTTATTGGTTTGAAATACACAGTGGGTTAATTCACAGCCATTCACTCCAGAGCCCTTACAACAACAAAAACAAACTGTTTTTGAATTATATGAATTTTTTTTTAAAAAGTGCAAACTTAAAAGCAACACCAGTCATGAAACGTAAGCTCAAGCATCTTTCCTTCCAAAAGCTGGGAACATCTTGTGCAATGTGCACATTTTAAGACACCGCGCGTGCAATCACCGCTACTCTCTTCAACCTGAAGTTTCTTCTCGAGGCATCTCAAAAGCTTAAGATAGCACTTCTCAGGCAGAAAAGCCATTCCTGAAACATGTTGATCTGCACAGCCAACACGTGGAGAAAACACAGGTAAAATAAACCATTCAAGTGTAGAAATTAATCTCTTTCCAAATTAGGATTTGGTTGTGCTCCCAACATACAGAAAGAAAGCAACTGATACATTAGTGGTGGCAAAACTGGAAAGCTTTCCTACTTCTGGTGTTCATTCTTTAAATTTGTCTACTTTCCATTCTTTTTCTTTCCCCATTTTGCCAGTAAAATGCAATAAAACTGCAGGAAAAAGGAGGTAGCAACATCATGTTGTCCAAAGACAACACTACATTTTTTCCCCGTATTTTAAATCTAAGGAGAAATGTAGGGGGTCGTTAGAATAGGTGATGAACTCTACACTATTTTGCTTAGCTCTTATTTGGACTATTAAATTTAGCTCTTATTTGGTCCTTGTCGGCTTTTCTCAAACCATTTTATTTAAAGGCCAATGGCAGTCTCAGCCTGATGTCTTAACATCAGAAACATTTAGAGCATGTAGTGAGACAACAGAACGAAACAATACTATCTCTATATTAACTGCTGTTTAGTTAGGGTTTTCTTTTTGTGCTTTCAGATCACAGGGTACAATAACTACACTTAGCTTATCTGTCCCAATAACGTTTTGCCAAATGTAAGTTTCAGGGTGTTATCCCTCATACTCATCAAACTGCCCGTTGAAGACCATCCATTTACTGCAGAACACAGTACTTCTTATAATCTGACTCAAAGTCTTCATCCATGCTGCTCGTGTCTGCCATCTTCTTGCCGTCAATCTTTGGCAGAAATTGTGCATAGTCCACCCCCTGCTGCTCATAGAAAAGAATGTAGGCAGAGTCGGTGTCAATTTCATCAGGATGCAATTCCTGCAAAACAGAAAAACACGCTCTGAAATACACACTGGTACAACTGTGTTACTGTCACTCGACTTACAATACTCACAATTGCCTTGGAAACGGTACTCTTTAGAAGCTGTTCACAACTAGAAGGATCACGCTTTCTGCCTTCCTCATTACAGTTATCAGGCTCCATTATTTACTTGGAAAGTGTAACAAATTTCATAGAGCCAAATGCAAATACTCAGAAATACTGGAACTTAATTATTCAGTCACTGAATACAAAACAAGTGTCATGAAAATACTTTCTTGGATTTCCATTTTCAGAAGCATTTCCATCTTTGTACAAAACAAGCATCTTCCCTTAACCACATGATAGCAGCTGATGAACAAATGCTAACTTGAAAGAAACATCACGTACAATTTTAGTTAAAAAACAAAAACACCACAAGAATAATTAAATGAAGCAATATTTGAGATGTTCATGATTCTAAAAGAAGAGTTCACACAAAACAAGTTTCTTTGAATCTAGATACCTGAGGCTGCAATTTGTGACAACAGAAGATTTACCTTACAGCTGCTGTCATTGTAGCAGTACCACTTGTTGTTTGGGTTTTTGGCATAAGTGACATAGTGACCCCCTCCCATAATTCCTGAATGGCACTGAGGAAAAAGAAGAAAAAAATTCACGCTCAGACATCACAGAACAAATTCACCATTTTTTATGGAGCAATGGTTGACGACAATCTATGCCTGCCAAAGATGCTTAAATGATACAGACTCTCTTAAACAAAATCTCTTTCCTCTGAAGTAGCAGCACACTGCATGTGCCAGACACCTCGTGCACACTGGCCCCAGCAGCTGAACATTCCCCATCCACAGCCAGTCTCCCTCTGTCCTTCAATTTCTTTTGCTATCAAATTTTCACATTATTTTTCTCATCTCATAAAGAATATCACAGTGTTCCTGCTAATTCTGTTTTGCTTTTACCCTTTTTTTTTATTAAATGACTGGATATGACCAAGCACAAAAAGCACTAAGCAGAGATGTACTTTTCACTCAGTTTTAAAGGCAAATTTATTTTGCTGACTACACTTTCTTCTCCTGTTTGATCAACCTTTACTTTCTGTAATGAATACAATAAACACGTCCAGTCAATCAATGCCACCAAGATAGTCTACTCGCACAAAAAGCCAACTCACCGAAATTGCATATAGGTTGTAAATAGGGTTAACACAAACTTCTTCTCTTTGGTCATCTGCAATATCCTCCTCGCTGTGGCTATCAATCTGGCCGTTGATACTACCGTTGCTATACGCGTTCTGCTCACAGATGTATCCGTTGGCTAGAGTTACCTCACTGTCCTGAGCAGTATACAGTTCAGTATACAGTTCATTCTGACTACCACCCAAATTCTGCCCCCTCGTAAAAGCATCACTTCGATCAGAAGCAATTTTCTGTTCCTGGTCAGTGCAGTTTTCTTTACTTCCATCCAAGTTTTCTTTGCTACTTGACAGTTTGTTTTTCCCCAGCTGCGGTAGCCGCAGGCGCCCTTTGCCTCTTCCTAAAGTCCTTGGGCTACTGTTTGGGCTACTGTTCTTACTCGAAGGACAGCTGGTTCCACTCTTCCTTCCCAGAGATGGAGATGCTAGAATGGAAAACATGTGGACTATTAGGCTAAGGAAACACATCGTCCAGATTTTCGCAAATAATCAAATATTAGAGAACACTGTTCCACACAAAAGTAGAAGTAGCTGTGCACACACCCCCACCAACACTCCCATTTAACTCTCATGTAGAAGCACGTTTCTCAGACTCAATTCTGCCTACTGTACACAGACATGGACAATACCAGTATTCTGTAATGTTCTTTTTTTAAAAAATGGTAA